CTTATCTCACAACACCAGCCACAAAGAACCCAGGATGTAAACAACAAAAATTGATCACCATTTCATTTATTCCTAGAAGTCTCTATGGTTCAATATGGAGGCTCCATCACATTTATTAACTTTCTTTAATCCTTAACTGCTCTCAGAACTTATCCTTCCTACTGGGATGGGTGAAATCAAGAAAAAGGTAGGAGTAAAGGGCAAGTTTTACCAAGGGTCATAAGTGAAGGCATAAGTGTTCTGGGATTCATGGATTTCAAAATTTTTTGACTGTGAATAAGAAATTATTATAGTTCTTATAAAAATAAAATGTACTTATACAATTTAAACTATTGAACAAAAGTTCAAGAAACAGTCCTTAACCTATCTACAATTTATTGCAATACATTGCATCCAGTGTCATGATGATACATCTCTACTTATTCTACTCTACACTATTCTGTTCTATTCCTTTAAGTAATGTTAAGAATAACACACTAATTCCATTTTTCAATTTATTAATGGCTCACAACCAACAGTTTGGAAAATAACTTATTAAAATAAATATATTTGAATTACCTATTGAAGTACATATATATTGAATTACATATATTACCCATTTAGGATGTTATCCCTTGGGGCGCCTGGGTGGCTCAGTTAGTTAAGCATCTGCCTTTGGCTCAGGTCATGATCTCAGGGTCCTGGCATCAAGCCCCACGTCAGGCTCCCTGCTCAATGAGGAGTCTGCTTCTCCCTCTGGTCGTCTCCCTGCTTATGCTCTCTCTTTCAGATAAATAAATAAAACTAAACTACACTAAGCTAAACTAAACTAAAATAGAATGTTATCCCTTAGTGATATAAACACTTTTAATTATCAAGAAAATAACTATAAGTCGTGGTTAGAATATGAAAAAAGTTGCACAAATCAAGCTCAATATCTTGATAAATTCGGAGACTGACAGATGCATTAGATCTCCTATGTATTTATAATTCATCTGTAAGCCAGTTATCTAACTTCAATGTACTCCACAATATAAATAATCTTTTAGAATATTCATCCATGCTAAAAATCCGTATGCAACTTATGTTCTTTATCATTTATACTGTCTTTTTTCTGCCATTCTTCAAACCTATTCCGCCTCCCCACAACAAGCACAGAACATTTCAGCAAATGTATTCTTTGCTCTTTGAAAAGGTGACTGAAACTAATCTAAAGGCTTATATAGGCAGTTAATAACTGTTTTTCGCTAGGACACAGTGTTAAAAGGTCACAACCTATAAATGCCAAGTTTATTCCATAAGTAGATCTATGTTGACAGAGTTAGAAGGCCACGGATTTCCCAAAAAGTGTTTAGAGTTTCTAATTTCTCTGATGTATTAGTGTGGGTTCAGCCAGTATTCAGTCATTTGGTTCATAGACAGTTTTATTGGCTTAGAATGATAGTTTTTTATTTCCACAATAGGAAGCATCACAAAGTGCTGTTGAAAGCAGTATCTCATGTGAATATTATTTAAATGGACAGAAATTGTCAGCTTTAATGTACACCCATCGTAGGTGCTCAATGACTATCTGTTCAATATAAATGGATTCCCATTCTGATTGTAATTTCTCCAATACCCATATTTGAAACTCAATTAAAACTTTAGAAGCCTCTGTTGTATATATTTGCATCATATCTTCTTTGGCAGCAGATTTTCACTATGAATAATACAAGTAATTATTTTAAAATATCTTTCAGCAAAAAATGTTAATATACATTCCAGAACAACCAATGGTTATATAAATAATAAGAATTTTATTAGTAAATACAAAAACAAAACAAAAAAGTGTCTTTACCTGCATATTCTCTAATTTAAAAAATCAAATGTCAAAATTAAATTTTGTGTCTGCTCATTTGTCATGCTGTTACTAAATTTTGTTTAAATATAATCCTAAATAGTTTTAAACTTGTGATTACAATTTTTGACTTATGAGTTATTTGTCCATGATAATGTGCATGTATAAGTTCTCTTTTTGCAATAAATTTAGAGAGAATTTATTTCAATAGTCTACTTACATCTTATTATCATCATTCTTACTACCACTTTAAAAAGTAGTGTTTTGGGGGCGCCTGGGTGGCTCAGTCATTAAGTGTCTGCCTTTGGCTCAGGTCATGATCCCATGGTCCTGGGATCGAGCCCCACATCGGGCTCCCTGCTCGGCAGGAAGCCTGCTTCTCGCTCTCCCACTCCCCCTGCTTGTGTTCCCTCTCTCGCTGTGTCTCTCTCTGTCAAATAAATAAATAAAATCTTTAAAAAAAAGTCTATAAAAAAATTAAAAATAAAAAGCAGTGTTTTGAAAACAAAAGAGCAATGCAGTATGTTTCTTTGACAGTACTCTTAATTTATTATAAATCAAGTTAATTTGCTTAATACTGGATATCAAAGTTAAGAATTAAATTTTCAATAGAAACTTTAAAATAATAACTTAGAATTCATTTTAAGAGAAAATAATTTTTTTTAAATTGTATTATGTTATGTTAGTCACCATACAATACATTATTGGTTTTTGATGTGGTGATCCATGATCCATTGTTTTTGTATAACACCCAGTGCTCCATGCAGTACATGCCCTCCTTAATACCCATCACCGGGCTAACCAATCCCCCTCCCCACTCACCTCTAAAACCCTGTTTGTTTCTCAGAGTCCATAGTCTTTCATGGTTCATCTCTCCCTCCGATTCCCCCCCCACCACCATTTTTCCCTTCCTTCTCCTAATGTCCTCCATGCTATTCCTTATGTTCCACAAATAAGTGAAACCATATGATAATTGGCTTTCTCTGCTTCACTTATTTCACTTAGCATAATCTCTTCCAGTCCCATCCATGTTGATGTAAAAGTTGGGTATTCATGCTTTCTGATGGCTGAGTAATATTCCATTGTATATATGGACCACATCTTCTTTATCCATTCATCTGTTAAAGGGCATCTTGGCTCTTGCCACAGTTTGGCTATTGAGGACATTGCTGCTATGAACATTGGGGTGCGTATGGCCCTTCTTTTCACTACATCTGTGTCTTTGGGGTAAATACCCAGTAGTATAATTGCTGGGTCATAGGGTAGCTCTATTTTGTGAACCAATTTTTCTATTATGGCTGTATATGGTAAATGCATTTTGATTTCCTTATCCAGGTAGAATTCTTTAGTAAACTATGTATTTATTCCTAATGGTAGTATAAGGGAAAGATACTAAATTGATGGTCTGCTATGATCAATAGGTTTATAATTATTAAAAGTCGATAATACATATTATTCCAATATGAATTGTGTGCTTTACTCCTGGTAAAGAAAATAATCCACTTTCAGGTGTCAATATTAAAAAAAAATAATAATAAGATCAATGTTCTTTGGTTTTAAATGAAGATGGTTAAGCATTTTATTGAAAAATAACTTACATAAAGTGCACAAGTCCTATGTCATATACCTTGGTACATGTCCACAGATTGAACACATATATGTAGCCAGACCCCAGATTAAAAAACAGAAAATTACCACCCTAAAGCTCTCATCATAACTATCAACCACTGCTCATCAGCACACTGCCAAGATCTATCTCCATTTATGACACTGGATAAGTACTTTATCCACTTCCTAAGATCGAATCTGTCTTCCAACAGAAACTATTAGATTACTTGGGGTGGGGAGGGAAATGTCTATTCATGTATTCTGCCCATTTTTTAATCAGATTTTTCATTTGTTTTATTTAAATTACAGTTAGTTAACATACAGTGTAATATTGGTTTCAGGTGTACAATTTAGTGATTCAATGCTTACATACAACACCTGTTACTCATCACAAGTGCACTCTTAATCCCCATCACCTATTTAACCAATCCCTTCACCCACCTCCCCTCTGGTAACCATTGGTTTATTCTCTGTAGTTTAGAGTCTGTTCTTGGCTTGCCTCTTCCTCTTTTTCCCCTGTGATAGTTTGTTTTGTTTCTTAAATTCCACATAGGAGTGAAATGATATGGTATTTGTCTTTCTCTGACTATTTCACTTAATGTGCTACACTTTAGCTCCAGCCACATTATTGCAAACAGCAAGATTTCATTCTTTTTTGTGGCTGAGTAATATTCCATTGTGCATCTATACTACTTCTTCCTTATTTATTCATCAGTTAAAGACACTTGGGCTGTTCCCATAATTTGGCTATTGTATATAATGCTGCTATAACATTGAAGTGCATGTATCCCTTTGAGTTAGTATTTTTGTATTCTTTGGTAAATACCTAGTAGTGCAATTGCTGGATCATAGGGTTAAAGACCTAAATGTGAGATCCAAAACCATAAAAATCCTAGAGAAGAACACAGGCAGTAACATCTTTGACATTGACCATAGTACCTTCTTACTAGATATGTCTCCTGATGCAAAGGAAACAAAAGCAAAAATGAACTGTTGGGACTTCATCAAGATACGAAGCTTCTGAACAGCAAAGGAAACAATCAACAAAACTAAAAGGCAGTCTTCAGAATGGGAGAAGATATTTGCAAATGATAATTTCTGGTAAAGGGTTAGTATCCAAAATATATAAAGAACTTATAAAACTCAACACCCCAAAAAATGACTAATCCAATTAAAAATGGACAGAAGATGTGAATAGACATTTTTCCAAAGAAGACATCCAGATGGCCCACAAACACATGAAAAGATGCTCAACATCACTCATCATCAGGGAAATACAAATCAAAACTACAATGAGATATCACCTGATACCAGTCAGAATGGCTAGAATTCACAAGACAAGAAACAACAGGTGTTGGTGAGGTTGTAGAGAAAGGAGAACCTCTTACACTGTTGGGAATGAAAAGTGGTGCAGTCACTCTGGAAAACAGTATGGAGGCTCCTTAAAAAATTTAAAATAGAATTACTTTATGATCCAGCAATTGCATTACTAGGAATCTACCTGAAGAAACTATTAGATTTTAAAATGTGTGTATACTTGTGCTGACAATTAAATGCTTTATTTTTCATGGAATAGGTCCAAAGTGGTATCCTTCCCGAGTTGGCCTGCAGCTAGAACGAGGTAAGAATAAATTTTCACTGATCTATTTATTTAATTTGGAATCCCTTTTCTTTCATCAATAGTTAATATTTATTTATCACTTACTAAATGACAAACATTATAGTAAGTGGTCTAGATCAGTTATGTCGGTTGATTCTCCCCATAAGCTAGTGCTTCACTTTTTGCATGAGGAATTCTAGTCTAAAGATAATTTTCACACATCCACTGTAATTTGCATTGGAGGCAGGATCTGAACTAACATCTTTCTGTTTCTAAAAGTTTTACTGCTTTATTCTCTCATTCTACTATCACCTAATATGCTCTCAGGGATACAGCTCAATATTCTTTTTTCTTCCTTCCCTCTTTCCTTCCTTCCTTCCTTCCTTCCTTCCTTCCTTCCTTCCTTCCTTCCTTCCTTCCTTCCTTCCTTCCTTCTTTTCCTTCTTTCCCTCCCTCTCTCCCTTCCTTCCTTTCTTCCTTCCTTCCTCTCTTCCTTCCTTTCTTTCTTCTTTCTTTCTTCTTTCTTTCTTTCTTTCTTTCTTTCTTTCTTTCTTTCTTTCTTTCTTTCTTTCTTTCTTTCTTCTTTCTTTCTTTCTTTCTTTCTTTCTTTCTTTCTTTCTTTCTCTCTCTCTCTCTTTCTTTCTTTCTTTCTTTCTTCCTTCCTTTCTTCTTTCTTTCTTCTTTCTTTCTTTCTTTCTTTCTTTCTTTCTTTCTTTCTCTCTCTCTCTCTCTCTTTCTTTCTTTCTTTCTTTCTTTCTTTCTTTCTTTCTTTCTTTCTTTCTTTCTTTCTTTCTTTCTTTCTTCTTTCTCCTTTCTTTCTTTCTTCTTTCTTCCTTTCTTTCTCTTTCTTTCTTCTTTTCTGTTTAAAGCAGAATAAATGAGCTAAGGAGGGGAGAAATGAATGAATTTTAGGGAAAATGTAATATCTGGGATTAAGCCTGAAATTTCTCAAACTGTCAAATCCTATTCTTCATTCAAAAAATTTATAAATAGATACACTTAAAAGTTACTCCTGCTAATAATCATTGTCACTAATATTACATCAACTTGACCTTAAATTTGGACTTGTTAAATAAGAGCTGTGGGTAGAATATAAATTTTGGAAGAATACTTGAAGTCAATAATAGTAAATCTACAAGAGGTGTCTATTAAGGAATTTCAATCTCTAAATTTTTCCATAGAGTGGTGAACTGCCCTTTTTTTTTTTTTTTTCCTGGTACTTTTGCTAATATTCAGGACATCCTTTCTCAGATATTACCTTTACTTAAGGACAAATGATGATTTCCTTGCATCTCTCTAAGGTGTTTTGTTTGTTTTCATCGTTTCTTAGACATTCCAGGTTTCTCTGAGACCTCTATGCTGAAAAAAATAGGAATCCATGATATTCTTGGAAGTTATACTTTCTTAATGATTTCAAATTCTTCCAAGCTCAAATGTTCAAGAAAAATTCCTATCTGGCTAGAGTTTAAAAGAGAAGACTCACTCTCTTGTTTATTTTTGCCTCTTCAGGGCCTTGTATATGCTAACCATATAAATGCCTTTTAACACATGGATGCTCAAATAACATAAAATTATATAGTGGTATTGTTTTCTGAACTTGACTCTTATATAATGAAGACTCTAGAATGCCACAGGCATCAATATAAAATATAATTCAATTTGAAGAACACTACAAGGGGAAACAGGAAATTTCTATTAGTTCAACCTTCCTGGTGAATGTGACTTTTTACTTTCTCCTCACATATATTTATTTGGTTTCCCTTCACATACATTTATAGGGTATGATCTGAATGAAATATAGCCACTGAGTGCCCTTGAATAAGAATGTGATGACTTATTTGAAAAAAAAAAAAAAAAGACTCAATTATTTTAGTGAGCTAAGCAGGATGTGGTACAAAGAGGTTGTTTGGAGTAAAACAGAATTTTAAAACCTGACTCTTCTGCTTACCTATCTATAGGGTCTTCTTTCGTAAAGTGGAGCTAATAAAGAATTTAACCCATGATTTGGTTTTTGTTTTATAAGTGTTAAATAAGATCATGTTTATAAAGCACTATAATTACTGACACATGGTAGATGCTTCATCTGTTATAACTGATGTTATAACTATTCATATTAAGAAAACTTAACACTGAAACAAATCAAGGCCTAAATATTTACAAATATTTCCTGCCAGAATGCTTATACTATGAGCAATGACATCATGCAGATTTAGTCTTCTACATTTTCTTTACACAAAAGACATCAGTAAAACATAAAGAAAATAGCAAACATTGATAATCATAGGCAAATTAACAAACTTTTTTTTTTTTTTTTTTTTTAGCTCAGTGGTTATGCTAAGCTGAGCTAGACTTAGCCTTACTTGGGCGGGTCCACTCAAGTAGCTGCAGTCAGCTGGTGGGTTTTTAGTGACTGGCTGGTCTAGGATGGCCATGACTATAGCCAATCCTCTCTACTCTTTGTGGTTTCTCATGTTTCAGCAGAATATTTGGGGCTTGTTCTCATGGAGGATTCAGGGATTCAAACAAATGAGCACAAGCACTTAAGATTTCTTAAGGCCCTTGGGTGCCTGGGTGTCTCAGTCATTAAGCATCCGCCTTCAGCTCAGGTCATGATCCCAGGGTCCTGGGATCGAGTCCCACATTGGGCTCCCTCCTCGGCGGGAAGCCTGCTTCTCCCTCTCCCACTCCCACTGCTTGTGTTCCTGCTCTCACTATCTCTGTCTCTGTCAAATAAATAAATAAAATCTTAAAAAAAAAAGAAAAATATTTCTTAAGGCCCAGGCTTGGAAGTATCATATCTCTTGCCCTACATTCTGTTAGCTAAAGTTAATGACTAGGCTAACCCATATTCAAGGGCACAGGGAAATAGGCACCAACTCTTATAAGAGGTACTAAAAGTCATATTGTAAATGGTGTGGATATGGGAATGGTAAAGAACTGAAGTCACAATTGTAATACATCTGTCATAGAAACTGGTAACTAAAATGTGTTCTCTCCTCCTACTTTGATTAAGATACTTAATAATGTTCTGGAAGAACAGGGTTGAATTTCCAATGCTTAAAATCATTGGATTTCTAAAATAGAAAGGTGAAGCATGAGTAGACTTGGTCCTTTCCTTCCCAGCCCTGGCTCTAATCATCCATAGCACTTATAAAAGGGCCTTGACAAACCCCTAGGTACATACCCTAGTGTCTGGCACAATTTTGGGGAAGAAATGCCCAACAAAGAAGATTTGTTTAAATTAATTTGGGCAGAAAATTCACAGGCCTTAAGTGGCTGAAGCCTGATATTCATGGAATTGACTCTTGTTTTAGGAATATATTCTTGGCCCTACCCATTCCTCTCCCTTTGGAAAAGGACATAGACATAGAAAGCCAAGGACAGGGTTCCCTGATTACTGAGTCTGAGTGGTATGATTAATGATATGCCTGGATTCTCTCAGTTCCTTCTATGCAAATCTCATATTGATGGGACCACATTTTAAAAATATGCCAATGGTCTGCTCCTTGAAGTCATCAAAAGTAATAGAGGAGTAGAAACTAATCCCCTGTCCAAAGATGTCAATAGATGTATGTTGGGAAGATGTTTACAGTACTTCAAGTGGTACAATTATCTCAGATTATTTTGTTCTTATTAACATTTCTTATTGTTATACATGATTGTCAAAATGATTTTGGCCATTTGTATATCCAAGTCTTTACCTTGACCCATGTTACATTAACTTCCTATTGCTGTGTAACAAATGACCACAAACTAAGCTTAAAATAACACTCATTTATTAGCTTGAAGACACAGTATGGCCGGATTCTTTGCTCAGAGTATCACAAAGCTGTAATCAAGGTGTTGGTGGAGCTGAATCTCTTCTCAAGACTTTTAGAAAATTCTACTTCTGTCTTTATTCTTATTGTCTGAAGTTTTTTTTTTTTTTGTGGTTCTATGACAGAGGTTCCTATTTCCTTGCTCCTTGTCACATTCTATAGGCCATTTCAGTTCCTAGAGGCTATTTGCATTATTTGCCATGTCGCCCTCTCCATCTTCATCCCAGCAATCATTCTCGTACTGTAGTATCAGTATTCTAGTACTTTGAATCTGAATTCCTCTGGCTTACCAATTCCTGCAGATTTAAATAGCACATGATTAGCTCAGACCCACCTGAATAATCTCTCTTATAAAGCCACATAGCCTAACCTAACAAGGGAATGATAGCTTACCATATTCACATTGGCTTTATCAAATACCATCTTCAAAATTAATATATAACAATTGCACATTTTATCTTACTTTAAAATATTTCATTGTAAATCAATGTATTGGATTCTGAAAATCAACTAAAAATAGTCATAAATTAATATTTAATGTGTCTTGGAAAAATAGAGAATGGAGGACTCCTAGGTGGCTCAGTTGGTTAAGCATCTGCCTTCAGCTCAGGTCATGATTCCACAGTCCTGGAAGGGTCCCCACTTTGGCTTTTTGTTCCCTGCTCAGTGGGGAGCCTGCTTCTCCCTTTCCCTCCCTCCCCCATGCTCATGCACTCTCTCTCTGTTTCAAAAAAATAAATAGGGCGCCTGAGTGGCTCAGTCGTTAAGCATCTGCCTTCAGCTCAGGTCATGATCCCAGGGTCCTGGGATCGAGTCCCACATCGGGCTTCCTGCTCAGTGGGAAGCCTGCTTCTCCCTCTCCCACTCCCCCTGCTTGTGTTCCTGCTCTCGCTCTCTCTCTCTGTCAAATAAATAAAATCTTAAAAAAAAAAAATTAAAAAATAAATAAATAAATAAAATCTTTAAAAAATAGAGAATGAAATGACACTTTTTCATGAGAAAAAGATAAAGATAAATTACAGATAGATTAGCATAAAGAATAATATCAATACAAGCAACTACAATGGCAATAAAAATAACATTATACTTATGAGATTCATTTAGCCCTAGTCCACTTATTTTTCTTTCTGTATGGTATAACTTTGAATAAAACAAGATATATTTAGCGTTATCTCATTTATGAAGATTTAACTTTTTACAATTGTTTTACAATTATAAATAATGCTAAAAAGAACATCTTTGTACATATATTTCAGTACACACATGTCAGACTTATCTAGTGTTTATTATTAAGAACGGAACATTTCCTTTACATGTCTTCTAAGACATCAGTTTATTCTTCTCCAATTTCATGAGAAACTCCTTTTCAGTAGTATGTTTCTTTTATTACTTTGAAAGCCCGTAGTGCTAGAAACTTTTTTCAGTTTCCATTTTCTTTTCAAACTGAACACTCAAATAATCTCATCACACAGAATGGCTTTAAACGTTAATGACTTTCAAATATCTACAGACACACCTAACCAACTGCCTATTTGACAGCTCCTACTTGAATGCCTAATAAATATCACACACTTAACATACCTTAACTTAAATCTTAATTTCCACCCCCAAATCCTGCTCCTTCCCCAGTCTTCCTCCTGCCAGTTAATGAAATTACAATGCTCCTAATTGCCCAGGTCAAAAATCTAAGACTGTCTTTATTTCATTGAAATACTCTCTTCTCAAGTTGAACCTGCTCTATGTTCAAAACATATCTGAAATTGATGAACTTTTAACATTTCTACCAGTGCCATCTTAATCCAAAAAATCCCTTGCTTGATGAATTTTGAGTTCATCCTAAGTAACCTTGCTTCCCTTCCTCCCAGTTTCCATACAGCATCCATAGAGATCTTTTAAAACATACATCAAGTCACTCTGCTGATGCTTGTGATGACTACTAAAATTTATTTGCCCTAATTAATTTATCAAATAATAAAAGAATTTAGAGAACAGTTGACATCTATGTCTACTGACACCCCAAATTATACTTTTTTAAAAGATTTTATTTATTTATTTTAGGGAGAGAGAGAGCATGAGCATGGGGAGTGGCAGAGAGAGAGGAACAAGAAGGCTCCCCACTGAGCAGGGAGCCCAACACAGGACTCAATCACAGGACCCTGAGATCATGACCTGAGCTGAAGGCAGACACTTAACTGACTGAGCCACCCAGGTGCCCTCCCCCCAAAAAATTATACTTTAAAAATATCCTGTATCATGCTCGGTTATGATATTACCCAGTATTACATTTTCTCAGAACACAACAGGATAGTAACTAGTGGTAGTCTGCACTTTGTTTAAGTAGAGGTGGGAAACTACCATATATTTGAAAAATTCTTAGGTATTTTATAAAATGAGTTCACTTACATTTTATTTTACTTTAAATATTTATTATACATTGCAGTTTCTATGTATGATTTATTCTTAGCATTCACAATTTTTCACATTAAAATTGTTTGTTAAAAATCACGATGCCTTGAAATTGTATTAAAATACTTTTCCTTATTATTTAAGGTGGGCCTTTTTTGAAGGACTACATAACCATTCAAAGCATTGCAGCTTCCTCCATTGTCACCCTCTATTTTACAGACCTAGGTCAACAGGTCAGTTGGACTACAGTAAGTATCAATCTGAAATATAATGTGCATGTCCCACATTTTGATAGGAATAATTTGTTGACAGAAGGACAATTTTTATCAAATAAATTCATAATGAAACAAAATACTGTACTGAATGTCATTTTAAGTTTTCCACTCTTACTAGAAACCATGGTCAAAATTTCATACAAGAATTAGAGCCATGGAAATACACAGTTGAAAGAAGGAGAATAAATTATTTTTTTTTAAATGTCCATCTATCCTATGACTGTATTTCTTCAGCTTTTCCTTCTAGGAACCTGGAGATATGAAGACTCTTCACAATGGAAAAAGAGGAGATAGAATATTCAATAAAAAAAATATTCTAAGGCAAAGGGAGGGCATATGGAAAATCAGAATGAAGTAGTGAGATTTCTTTGAGTAAGACGGTCATGGAATACTTTCTGCTCTCCTTGAAGGAGGAGCTTTCAAAGTGGTGGCAACTGAATCCAATGGCATTAGAAGAATGAAGACTACATTCAGTGGTGGCAACTGAATCCAATGACATTAGAAGAATGAAGAATGAGGATTAAGAAATAGAGAAAATACTTGACATTAGGTCACAAGTATTGAACTATTCATGAGTTATGGAATAGATAGGTTGAATAGCTTTAGTAGCAATAGGAAATCCTAGGTGATATTTTTGTGACAAAGAGTTAATTTGATAAATAATTTTAACACTGATATAAAAAGAATAGAGTAATCATTCTATTTTTCAATTCAATTTTTAATTTTTTTAGAATTTTAAAGTTTTTCCAATTACACAGATATTTCATATTTGTGATGGGATTGCACTTTTTTTGGGGGGGGGACTTACTAAAGTTTTTTTTTTTTTTTTTTTTTTTTTTTATGTTATGTTAGTCACCATACATTACATCATTAGTTTTTGATGTAGTGTTCCATGATTCATTGTTTGCATATAACACCCAGTACTCCATTCAGTACATGCCATCTTTAATACCCACCACCAGGCTAACCCATCCACCCACACCCCTCCCCTCTAGAACCCTCAGTTTGATTCTCAGTGTCCATAGTCTCTCATGGTTCAATTCCCCTCCGATTCCCCCCCTTCATTTTTCCCTTCCTGTTATTTTATTTTATTTTATTTTTTTTTAACACATAATGAATTATTTGTATCAGAGGTACAGGTCTGTGATTCAACAGTCTTACACAGTTCACGGCGCCACCATAGCACATAACCTCCCCAATGTCGATTACCCAGCCACCCCATCACTCCCACCCCCCAACACTCCAGCAACCCTCAGTTTGTTTCCTGAGATTAAGATTTCCTCGTATCGGGCGCCTGGGTGGCTCAGTTGGTTAAGCGACTGCCTTCAGCTCAGGTCATGATCCTGGAGTCCCGGGACTGAGTCCCGGATTGGGCTCCCTGCTCAGCAGGGAGTCTGCTTCTCCCTCTGACCCTCCCCCCTCTCATGCTCTCTCTATCTCATTCTCTCTCTCAAATAAATAAAAAAAAATTCTTTAAAAAAAATTTCCTCGTATCACTGAGATCATATGATACATGTCTTTCTCTGATTGACTTATTTCGCTCAGCATAATACCCTCCAGTTCCATCCATGACGTTGTAAAAGGCAAGATTTCATTATTTTTGATGGCTGCATAATATTCCATTGTATCTATATGTACCACTTTTTTATCCATTCATCAGTCCATGGATCTTGGCTCTTTCTAAACTTTGGCTATTGTGGACATGGCTGCTATAAACATCAGGGTGCATGTACCCCTTCGGATCACTACATTTGTATCTTTGTGGTAAATACCCAGTACTGCAATTGATGGATCGTAGAATAGTTCTATTTTCATCTTTTTGAGGAAGCTCCCTACTGTTTTCCAGAGTGGCTGCACCAGCTTGCATTCTCACCAACAGGTTAGGAGGGTTCCCCTTTCTCTGCATCCCCGCCAACATCTGTAATTTCCTGACTTGTTAAATTTAGCCATTCTGACTGGTGTGAGGTGATATCTCATAGAGGTTTTGATTTGGATTTCCCTGATGCTGAGGAATGCTGAGTAGTTTTGCATGTGTCTGTTGGCCATTTGGATGTCTTCTTTGGAAAAATGTCTGTTCATGTCTTCTGCCCATTTCTTGATTGCATCATTTGTTCTTTGGGTGTTGAGTTTGATAAGTTCTTTATAGATTTTGGATACTAGCCCTTTATCTGATATGTCATTTGCAAATATCTTCTCCCATTCTGTTGGTTGTCTTTTGGTTTTGTTGACTGTTTCTTTTGCTGGGCAAAAGCTTTTTATCTTGATTAAGTCCCAATAGTTCATTTTAACCCTTGCTTCCCTTGCCTTTGGTGATGTTTCTAGGAAGAAGTTGCTGAGGCTGAGGTTGAAGACGTTGCTGCCTGTGTTCTCCTTTAGGATTTTGATGGACTCCTGTCTCAATTTAGGTCTTTCAAACATTTGAGTCTATTTTTGTGTGTGGTGTAAGGAAATGGTCCAGTTTCATTCTTCTGCATGTGGCTGCCCAATTTTCCCAACACCATTTGTTGAAGAGCCTGTCTTTTTTCCATTGGACATTCTTCCCTGCTTTGTCGAAGATTAGTTGACCATAGAGTTGAGGGTCCATTTCTGGGCTCTCTATTCTGTTCTATTGATCTGTGTGTCTGTTTTTGTGACAGTACCATACTGTCTTGATGATGACAGCTTTGTAATAGAACTTGAAGACTGGAATTGTGATGCCACCAGCTTTGCTTTTCTTTTTCAACATTCCTCTGGCTATTCGGGGTCTTTTCTTGTTCAATACAAAATTTAGGATTATTTGTTCCATTTCTTTGAAAAAATGGATGGTATTTTGATAGAGATTGCATTGAATGTGTAGATTGCTCTAGGTAGCATTGACATCTTCACAATATTTGTTCTTCCAATCCATGAGCATGGAACATTGTTCCTTTTTTTTTTGTCTTCCTCAATTTCTTTCATGAGTATTTTATAGTTTTTGGAGTACAGCCTCTTTGCCTCTTTGGTTAGATTTATTCCTAGGTATCTTATGGTTTTGGGTGCAATTGTAAATGGGATTGACTCCTTAATTTCTCTTTCTTCTGTCTTGTTGTTGGTATATAGGAATGCCACTGACTTCTGTGCATTGATTTTATATCCTGCCACTTTCCTGAATTCCTGTATGAGATCTAGAAGTTTTGGGGTGGAGTCTTCGGGGTTTTCAACATAAATATCATATCATCTGCAAAGAGTGAGAGTTTGACTTCTTCTTTGCCAATTTGGATGCCTTTGATTTCTTTTTGTTGTCTGATTGCTGTGGCTAGGACTTCTAATACTATGTTGAATAGCAGTGGTGATAGTGGACATCCCTGCCATGTTCCTGACCTTAGGGGGAAAGCTCTTAGTTTTTCCCCATTGAGAATGATATTCACTGTAAGTTTTCCATAGATGGCTTTTATGATATTGAGGTATATACCCTCTATGCCTATACTCTGAAGACTTTTGATCAAAAAGGTTGCTGTACTTTGTCAAATGTTTTTTCTGCATCTATTGAGAGGATCATATGGTTCTTGATCCTTCTTTTATTAATGTATTGTATCATATTGATTGATATGTGGATGTTGAACCAACCTTGCAGCCCAGGGATAAATCCCACTTGGTCGTGGTGAATAATTCTTTTAATGTACTGTTGGATCCTATTGGCTAGTATTTTGGTGAGAATTTTGGCATCCATGTTCATCAGGGATATTGGTCTGTAATTCTCCTTTTTGAAGGGGTCTTTGTCTGGTTTTGGGATCAAGGTAATGATGGCGTCATAAAACATGTTTGGAAGTTTTCCTTCCATTTCTATTTTTTGAACAGTTTCAGAAGAATAGGTATTAATTCTTCTTTAAATGTTTGGTAGAACTTCCCTGGGAAGTCATCTGGCCCTGGGCTTTTGTTTGTTGGGAGATTTTTGATGACTGCTTCAATTTCCTTAGTGATTATAGGTCTGTTCAGGTTTTCTATTTCTCCCTGGTTCAGTTTTGGTAGTTGATACATCTCTAGGAATGCATCCATTTCTTCCAGATTATCTAATTTGCTGGCATATAGCTGCTCATAATATGTTCTTATAACTGTTTGTATTCTTTTGGTGTTGGTTATGATCTCTCCTCTTTCATTCAGGATTTTGTAGATTTGGGTCATTTCTCTTTTCTTTTTGTTAAGTCTGGCCAGGGGTTTATCAATCTTGTTAATTCTTTCAAAGAACCAGCTCCAAGTTTCATTGATCTGTTCTACTGTTCTTTTTGTTCCTATTTCTTTGTTTTCTGCTCTAATCTTTATTATTTCTCTTCTCCTGCTGGGTTTAGACTTTATTTGCTCTCTTACTCCAGCTCTTTTAGGGGTAGGGTTAGGTTGTGTATTTGAGACCTTTCTTGTTTCTTGAGAAAGGCTTGTATTGCTATATACAGTCCTCTTAGGACTGCCTATGCTGCATCCCAAAGAATTTGAACAATTGTGTTTTCATTTTCATTTGTTTCCATGAATTCTTTTAATTCTTTAATTTCCTGGTTGACCCATTCATTTTCAGTAGGATGCTCTTTAACCTCCATGTGTTTGAGTTCTTTCTGACTTTCCTCTTGCGATTGACTTCTAGTTTCAAAGCATTGTGGTCTGAAAATATGCAGGGAATGATCCCAGTCTTTTGGTAACAGTAGAGACCTGATTTTTTACCTAGGATGTGATCTATTCTAGAGAATGTTCAATGGGCACTAGAGAAGAATGTGTATTCTGTTGCTTTGGCATGGAATGTTCTGAATATATCTGTGAAGTCTCTTTGGTCCAGTGTATCATTTGAGGTCTTTATTTCCTTGTTGACATTTTGCTTAGATGATCTGTCCATTTCAGTGAGGGGGCTGTTAAAGTCCCCCACTATTATTGTAATGTTGTCAATGTATTTCTTTGCTTTTGTTATTAATTGCCTTATATAATTGGCTGCTGCCATGTTAGGGGCATAGATATTTACAATTGTTAGATCT